TGATCGCTGGATTCCTGCTTATATTAGTGTATGAAAAAAGAGTTGGAAGACTTTTGAAGGACAGTATGCCACGGATAGAATCACAGCCACGTCTATCCATCCGTATTTGCGTTGACGTGAGCCGCATACCAAAGTCGGCCAGCATCCGCGAGATAAGCGATGAACTGGGACGGACGTGAGTCGTGAGTTAGCGATCGTGATTTGAAGCACGAGAGGTGTAAGGCGATGGAGACGAGACGAGACATCCGAGTAAACTTCCCCCGGTGTATCCATCCATCGCTCACCGACTCTATTAATAGGGAGCCAACATGGGTGTGTCTGAAACCAATTATTCATCCGGCATCCTAGCAGGTCAAACGGGTCAGGATTCTCCCCTCTAATTATTATCGCAACCTCACTTTCTTCTTCACCTTCCTTGCATTTTTTGCCTCAAAACCACGTCTTCCTCCTGCTCGTCGATTCCATTCACGCCATCGTGAAATTATCCGCTTCGATGCTGCTTTTATCCCTTCTGGGGATCGTCGATCGGGAAGCGGCTCCTCGACCCATTCGCCACGGTCAGCTCCGTTCAATGGGCTGGCATCGTTTGGAAATGTCGGGATTTCGCCCAAAGCTCTCGAATTTCTTGCCACCGCACACTCTCTTTCATGCCTTTGTGCCTACGCATAATCGCTAAGGGAGGGACAGACACCCATGAATAAATTCGAATTTGGAAAAACTCCTGCTTCACGCACGGGGACAGGGGAAAGAGACGATACGGCCGGAGGGGATCATTCCGTCATGCCTCTGCAACGAAAAAAAAAAACAACAGAGGCAATCTTTTCTGAGGGGGAGAGGGAAAAAAATACGGGCATCTCAACGTGCTCATCTCTTCATTCGCATCATCATCATCGTGATCATCTGAGAGCAGTCTATTGCGGTACCTTTTTCTCATACCCTTTGTAACCCACTTTTAGATGGCTTTTAATTCATTTTGATGCATTCCCCCTCGTTTTTCATGACGGGGGAAGTGAAAATAGGCGTAGCAAATTTAGAAATTAACGTTTTGGACGAATTTCGGACACGTAGAAGGTGACGTTCAATGGGCTTAAAGGAAGCATCATTTTCGGCTTCGGGCATCTGAATTCCGGTATTTCTCATCATCCCTCCTCGATTGACCAAAAATCAGCGATCGAACTCATGCTGGTAATTCGATTTCCACTTAGACAACAGGAATCGGCAATCCAGCTCGTTCTGACGTTTTTCTGCCAGAAGAATGCAGTCACGTCATAAGCATTCGTGCGTGTGTCAGCGTATGTTGACCTCACGACAGGTGATAACAGGCGACGTCTTCCTCAAACCAATCAAAACCGAAGAAAATCCTGCTACTGATGCTCCCTGCTTTCATTTTGAATTTCATTCCCCAATCGCCGCAACGATTCCTGTCACTGCGCTCTCGGTTCAGACATAATTCGGAGCACATTTTAGAAATAATCCGTGACCGAACCGGGCCCGACATCACGCTCGCCTTCCAATATTCAGCAAGAACTTGCTCGCTAACCAACTCGGGATTCCATCGGTGATCTCGAGATTCCCCCGTCATCGTACTCCAGATTCCGTTTCGCATCGAGGAAGAATGAAGAGGATGCGATACGTCAAAAATGACGCATTCGTAAGGAAAACTGTACGTGTCCAACATTGTTTCGCCGGCATTATTCACTTTCAGAATGATGGAAGTGATTTACAAGCCATCTAAAAGCTGATTACGAAAGAAACAGTTTGTATCCCTTGAATGTCGTCATCAATGACACAAATGTACTTCGCATCGCCTACTTAGACCGAATAGTCACGGGAGCTGGGTCATGCGATCTATTGACGCCATGTCTTTTGAGCCTGGTAATTTATATTCTTATTCATATTCTCATTCATATGCATATGCGTATAAGTGCCAAGATCTGTGGCGGAAACTATAGGTCAGCTTGATGAGGAATGTCCATTTCGCATCCCATCAAGCGAAATAACACGACAAAGACGACCTATCTCAAGGTATTTTATAACGGAAAAGAGCCGCGATCGACAGCAATGAAATCCTTTCTCGTGTTAAGGTTGAAAGGGTGTTACAAAAGTTACCGACACATTTAAAAAATCGTAACCGTTAGAATAACAAAGGTGCAACAATGTCATTGAAAGCAGTTAGAAGTACCTCATATACTTATTTTAAGACTACTTAAGAACCCATATTTTGAAACGTTTTGATTTCTCGCGATTTTTCGAATGACATCACACAATATACCCAGTATGACCACACTGCCTATTGATGGGTGGCCAACATTTGAATGCCTCAAACACACGTTTCTGAGATGATATCCATGATGATCCTCTCAATGTTCATTTTCCCTTCGAATGTGAACATTGTGAGAAGCATATTGAAATGTGTATTCGTGCAAACGCGACCCTTCAGAAGCCCTCAAAAACAAAATTTAAATGTTTCCATGGTGCCATTGGACCATCTTAGTTTGATACTCAGAATGCGTAGCAAGATGAACGTGACTTGCTTTCAAAGATGAACGACAAAATAAAGTGCTGAGACGTCACTGCAAGAAAAAAAAAAGCGCTGAATGAGTTGATAGTGAAGCCTTCCGGCACCGCGCTGGTCTCAATGAGGCCAAGAGTAGGAGGCATCGCAGCAAGAGTTCTTTCCTTTCTGGGTGCCGACAGCGCCTGCTTCCATCTCTGGCGCTTCCGGATTTTTTTTTTTTTACGAGCGATACTTTTAAACCCTTAATGCATTCTGGAGGGTCTGTGGTACACACCGAATGTATATTTAATAGCACTATGTTTTAGGCATATATTGTCAAACTTCATGTCATGTCGTATCTGCTGCTCTGCCTTTGCAGGTTGAGTCTTTACAGCGAATATTTGAGAGGTTGACAGTGAATGTTAATTAGTCATAAATAAATTTTTCTCATAAAAGTAATGGAGTAAGGGATTAACCCTCTCTCGTTCACGTAGACAAAAAAATTGCGTGCATGCCCAACTTTAAAGAGCTTATCTCGTCTTTCTCCCGAGATACGGGTGACATTGACATCTTACTCCTTCTTACGGCCAGATGCTGTCAGACTTCATTGCATGGCGTTGTAGATGGTACTGAGATATCCTTGACTAATGAGAGAACGTCTGGCGAAGGTTGGAATTCTGGTCTGCTAAAAAGTCCGTGCCCTCGCTAGATGGTGAATAGTGGATTCTCCTCCATTCCAACTCGTCAAGCACGCCACGACTGAATTTTCCGCGCCTCTCATCGACTCAGCTCCAGTTTCTGTTTATTTTGGATAATGTGGGGTAAATGCACTTTTTGCCTCGAAAATGGAAAAAAAGCAAGATAAATAATTGAATATAATTGCCTAGATGGAATATTTGGAAAGGGAAGCTAAAGCATTGTTCACACTAATCTGCCTCTTAGCACGGAATCGTCTCCCCAAATCCCTAGAAGTACCATGAAAGACTTGAAGAACCATATTTTTCCGAGCCATGGGCAAACCTGCAGCGGTAGCAATGACACGCAGCGCCTTTCGCTGAAACTGGCATCCACTACCTAACACAGCACTTGTGCTGTGGTAGGTCACACCTCCCACCTGACACCATAGGTAGGTCTCATACGATTACCCGACATCTTCCAAGAAGCAGGCGTTCCATCACGTTGGAGTGCAGTCCACCTCGTAAAATGCAATCACGACTGGGGAGAGGGACTTTTGCAGAAGGTGCTTTACTCTCAAGCACTCCTAACCCTGTGCGAGCAGCCTTGAATAACTCTGGGAACACGGAACGGATTCCAGTAGAATTTATGCGATGACCCTTGAATAGCAAACACTTGTCACCATCCTTGGCAAAAACAACGAATCAAGCCATATCCAAAACTCTAACCACGACAAGGAAGTCCTCTTCGGTTTCTATTCATCGATTTCAAGGCCGTCAAAATCGGCGCATATGTTTCCAAATGCAATTATTTGGACATCTTTGAACGACTAGCTCCTTTTCGATCCCTCACAAAACTCAATGTTAATGCCCATGATCAAATCTCCATTTTCCACGGGACTGGCACGATAGGCGTATCTCATTGCGATCGCACTAGTGCAAGGGAATTTGATAAAATATAGCGACCGATAACAGATGCTGCGGTCTATAAAAACCCGAGACTCGGTACTTCCAAATACGTCTTTATCGGGGGAAGAAGTCGTTCGAAGTCGTCTGGGTGCAGGTAGCGGTTACTTGGCCCCCCGATTCCGGCCTTCAGGCCACGGGTACAGGTTTAAATATTAATCAAGGCCGTTTCCAGCTCTCTAGTTACAGACCGAGCTGAACACTGGGGAGATTCTCCATCCTTTTTTCCTCCCTTCCGTGCGATTCGGTAAGGGAGAGGTAGAGTGGTCGGATGCATTTTTGGAATATGGGGTTTGGTTTTGGTTTCCGAGATTTGATCGCATCCGGCTAATGACAATAACGATAAACAACGTCTACTGCACCGTGTTGCGCATTACATTTCCGCAATGAAAAAGTATCTGCGGAAGGAATACGAACCATATCTCCAACACTTCAGGTTACATATTTCGTCAATAACGCATTACAAGTTCAGAAGAATAATAGGTTTCAAGCCTGCTCTATTCAAAAGGAAGGTTACGATACGAGAAAGGCATTGACAGAGGTGGCCATTTAAGCGTGCATATTTTGCGTAGGCTCATAAACGATGTGGAAAAGGAAAAAGGCAAGACAACGAGTCTCAAGACCTACAAAAGAAATTTTGATTCCATTGAAAAGTCATAATCCGCATCGTACCTCGTTTGCAGAAGCACGATGTTTCCTGTGACATTCCACGATGCCCTCTTGAGGTCGAGGACATCCGTAATACAGCTGATACTGTATGATGCTGGTCTTGGCATTTACTGCCCTCTCGCGAGCGAGTGGAGAAGGACGTCCCTCCCTCGATTTCCCCTTGACGTCTCATCGATCGATACAAACAAACATGGCCGCCTCCTAAGCACCACGCGGCGTCACAACACAACACGAGCAGGTGTGGAAGGGCTATGAGTTCTAAGCGATCGACGGCGAGCAAGAGGCGACAGTCCAACACAAGCCATGGCACCCGACGGCAGTCCGTGACGACGGAGGATCATAATGGTGAGGAACAGGATAATGCAGCCGAAAACCCAGATGCATCTGCCGAACCCGAGGATGGAGGCCCCGGTCTGCTTTACCTTCCTTTCGTCGTCATGGAGGAGCTGTTGGACAAGCTCAAGCTGCTCAGCTATGAGAAGGACTTTCTTCGGCAGCTTCAAATGAAACCTATGAGCCGGTTAGGCCTCAGCTTACATCCGTAAAGTCTAATTTGCCTTGCATCAGACATACAGGGTGGTCCACAATTGTCTCCCCAAAGGAAAAGCCTATTACTTAGGAAGTATGCATCCGATTTCAAAGATGTATGACATACATGATAACCAAATCAATATATTTTTATTGTGGAAAATTTCAGCATCGTGTATAGAACTTAAACTAAATTACATCCTTACAAATGATGACCCCCAAATTGCAAGTGTTCAATAATGACATCCACAGTTTTCAATGACTTGGTGCAGTCTCTCTTTGATTGCCAGCAGACATCTTTCGATCATCTCTGGTCCTACTGTGGTGAAGGCATCTCCAATGGCCTGTTTCAGCATGTCTAGGTAGTCATAGATCCACTGATAAATCTCTTCAGGTTCAGAAACCTCTTACAGATTGCCTTCATGATCTTCTCATCAGGAACTGAGGCATTTGGAACCAAACTGAAACATTTTTAAAGTTTTCCTACACCAAAATTGCACTCTACAAATCATCAAACCAAATGGCAATATTTGTTTTCTGCAGGAAACAGGTCACCCATGATGCAGACAATCCCTTGTGATGCATGAAAAACCCACAAATGAATTGTGAAACTCAAGATGGAATTGCAAATTTCAGAAGGGATTGTGATATTTACAGGCTTTAGTTGCATGATATGGGTACTTTTGTTTGTTAGGGTGTAACTTTGTTCTAGTTTCTTATGCAATACTGAAATTTTCAACAATAATATTGAATTGGCTATCATTTCAGTCATATATAATTGAAACTGGATGCATACTTCCTGAATAATAAGCTCTTACTTTTGGAGATACATTTGTGTGTACATCAGCCTAGGTGTAGCCTTTTTGCTTGAATCAGCCCTAAATTTCTGAAGCCAAGTAATATCTTGACTACTTGACTTAGTATACAGTGACTAAAATTTTTCACATTCTTGCAGGCATTATTTTGCCATCCAAAGCAATCCAGGAGAGCAGTTCTATCTCTTCTCTTCTTTGGCTGCTTGGTTAATCAACAAGACAGGACGTCCTTTTGAGCAACCTCAGGAACATGATGATCCCAACAGCACCATAACCAACATTTTGGATGTTCTGCGAAACATGGTGCAGTTACTTGTTTCTTCCATTTTGCATCTATAAAATCACAATTTGCCCCAATAATGCCTCTCTTTTGGGCAGACTTGGCCTAAGTATGTTCATTTCTTCTAGAAATGTAATACCTTGTTGTTTCATTATTTCATGGCAATAGGGAGTGAATGTAGACTTCCCTCCATCCAAGCTGAAGCAAGGATATGGAGAGCAAGCCATCTATGTTCTGGATCGTCTGGCTGACAAGGCCCTTGAAACCCAGAACTTTGAGTGGCAAAAGTGAGTCTATGGATCATACTTTCCATGTTACAGGGATTGGCTACTCACAAATCTAATCCCAGGCCTAAATATCAAATCTTGCTCAAAGTCCTGAGTTTTAGAACAAAATTACTATATCAGAAATACATAGAAATTTGAATCCCAGTGAAAAGTTAATTCTAAAAAATTCATTCTTATAGCAACTGAAAAACATTTAGGCAACAAAACTATGTACACCCTGATGTTCATCATTGTGTCATGGTTTTGGAAAAGCTAATGTTCCATTTCTTTTGTTCAGGATTGGTATTAAGAACTGAACTTGTGTTTGCTGTGACAGAATCATGATGGAAGGAAAATGAAACAAACAAGTGCCTCTATACTGTTGAAGGCTTACTACCACAGATGCACACATTATGGGTGAAAATTTTGCTTCAAAATGCTCAAATCATAATTGAAAGACATAGTACCATTTACTCAGCTCAACTATTGCAACAATACCTTTTGCATGATATTTGTTTGCATTCTTTCCAGCCAAGCATTATCATTCTGTGAGCCATGCACTATTTCAGGCCTGTGCATATGACCTATGGACTCTTCATACATGCTCTAATAGCCAGGATGTCATGATTTCCAGCAGTGGTGCTGTACTGCTTATCATCACTAGAGTACCAACCAAGTAAAATATACTTCTTGTATTAGGAAATGAGTTGCTTTGTACTTGGTAGCAAACTTCAACATTGATGATGTGGCAAGAAGACTTGCTGTCATCGAAAAGTAGTTATGTTGACTTCATTTCTCATTATTGTTACTTTTTCATTGCTTTTTTGCTGGTTTTTCAACAGAATAAGAAAAAATGAATTCTGCCACTGGGACATGCAACCATTAACAGATGTCATGATGGCAGGAATGGAATGTGAGTATGTGCACAAAAGCATTGGCACTGATTTTTTAAAGTGAAAGAGTGGAATGCATGATGGATGACCCCCCATGAGTATGAAAATAATGATGACTTATGAGATCATGATGTGACTCAGGCTTAGTTTCCTTTTGTCCTTGTTCCTGTCACTCTAGATACTTAAAAAAATTTTATCATCCATTTGTCCCATATCACTGCCATGATTATTACAAAAGAATATGAATCTGATTTTTAAATGATGATCATTCATTACCAATGTGGATTTGTCAGAGACAAAAAATACTGAACAAAACATAGATATACCTTCAAATCAAGTTTTTAACTAAGAATAGAATCTGACTCATAATCATGAGTCTGGGATGGAAATAGTTCTCAAGCTGAATCTTGATAATGGATTTTCCATTACTCCATTACTATCTTTAGCCATCCTTCCCTAGATGGCTTCAGGCTTATGCCTCTAATTGGTATATAATGTATGACTTAATGAAATGCTCAAGACTTGAAATTCAATTTCTTGTGACATTGTAATGGACTAATAGACACATATTTCTCTGGTAGGCCAAAATATAGATACAGGTGCAGAAAAGTCACTTGTCAGACAACAAGACAATTGAGTTTTATTTTCTGTATGCCTAAATATTAGAATTATTCTGGATTCTGAGTGCTTTGCATTAAAAATACAATACAGAAGACATAAGTCTCAGTATTCATCTCAATGTTTGGCAGGCCCATTTTGACTGAAGCCAATGCAGAGGAAGATGATGAAGAGGAAAGAGAGGATGAAGCTGAGATCACCTTGGACAAGATGGAGGAAGAGACGCTTGTTGAGGATACAGATGAAGAGGAGGAAGAAACCATTCTCAATTTGGATGAGCTTAAAGGCCTTTCAAAGCCTGCATTTATGGTATGGGGATATGAAAGCACAATGCCAATTCCTCTTATTTGCATATGTTTAACAAGAGAATACTTGTGGTCTCGCAGATGGGGATGGAAGAGATTAAGAAGCCAGCTGAGATACTGACATCAAATACAAATGCAGAAGAATGGAGGCTGGAAGTGGAAAGAGTTCTCCCTCAACTAAAAGTCACACTGCGAAATGGTATTCACAATTCAATTGAAAACCAGAGTTTTTTTCCTAAGATCTTTTTTTTTTGTGGAATTATCAAATAAAATATTCTATCCCTGAAGATATGAGGGATTGGAGAGCTCATGTGGAGCAGATGCATACTCATCGAGATGGGATAGAAGAGTCTCTAAAATCAACCCAGGGACAACTGGACAAACTGCATGCTGACATTGCTCGAACCTTAGAGAAAATTGGTTCTAGGGAGAAATATCTCAATAACCAGCTTGAGCATCAGCTCACAGAATTTCGCAGCCTTCAGGTTTGTCATACCTCAGTTTTATACTGGAAAGGCTGCTATAAAAAACATATTTCAACCATGACCTATTTTCTGTGTCTACTCTTAGGACCAGTTGGCTCAAGCCAGGCAACAATATAGTCAAGTGAGTGGAGGTGTTGTGGAGAGGAAAGAAAAGTTCAGAGAACTCTCAACTCGACTTGAGACTTTGAAAGAGGAAATGGAGAGACGTGGGTCAGCCATGACAGATGGATGTAAGCCCCTTTAACTAATCCTACAGGGGAGTTGCCTGGTTTCTCATGGTAGATGACTGTCATTTCTGTCATGACTTGCAGCTCCTCTGGTGAACATACGGAAAGCACTGACACGACTGAGGCAGGAAGTGACAGGGATGGATGTGCGGATTGGTGTCGTAGAGCATACTCTTCTACAGGCAAGACTTCGAGATCGATCTCAGATGCAGAGAGATATGCACTCTCTCCCATCTCAATCTCAACTACCTGTTGGACTCTACTAAGCACCTTTCTTTTCATCAACTCTCTTTCAAGCAGATTCATATGAAATTACATTATACCTGTAATATTTTGGATTTTGATTGTATTGCAATGAGTGGGGAATGTGCACAGGCTGAATGCTAAAAAGCAGTTCTCCAAGATTTTTTCCTTTGCATTATATGTGAAGTGAAGCTTCATTTAATTGTTAAGCCCTGTCTATGCATATGTGTTTTCTTGTGCACTTCTTGCACTAGCTTATTTAGTTGCATTAGCCAGGGAATGCAAACAGAATCACTTAACTTGAGTTAGTTTAGATATAATATGATCTGACAACCAAGTTGGTTTGTAAAACCAAGCAGTTCATTGATTAATGTAACTTCTATTCAGTGGGAACAAAACACATTACTGCAGCTAATGCCATGCCTAAGGTAATGTTTTAGGCTAATGACAGTTCCCAACTTAAATGTCGATGAAAGTGCAGTCAACTCTAGTTCATCCAAGTGTCAGTAATGCAGCACTCCCATCAAGACAAGAAAGATTTGGTCATGGCAGAAATTCCATGAAGCCTATGCCAAAATTCTCCATTTAATCTGGACACTGTTATTCCATAGCTCCCATATATATGGGCTAATTCCCTAGTTCCCTGGGTCATTCAATTAATCTGGACTTGATAGCAGGAGAAATGCAATAGACAAGGGGGAAAAAAGTTTTCTGGTCCCTTGTCTGCTTGTATTCTTCTCATCACCCCAAGAATTACAAAGAGACAGGAAAAGGAAAACTAATCTCCTTCAATCCCCTCCCCCTCATTCTTGTAAGCAGGTGATGGAGATTGCTCTCATCATTAAGACTTTTGCTCACCTATTCTTTAATCAGTCTGATGTGAGTCTGGCTCCCACTTATTTATTGGGAAAAAAATAAACCAGGATAAAAGAAGGCATTTTGCAGTACACAGGGGGTGCAGTTTTCTTTGCTGGGAAAAAAGAAAAATGAGTTGTCACTCATTCAGGTTTTCTATAATCCAGACAAATTCACCCGTTCCCATCAATCTGATTATCCAGAGTTTATTGTATTTAACATGCAAAGATACCTTCAGAATACCTCATTAATCCAGATTCCCTTTCACATGCACTGTTGGTCAGTGCTGCAATAATCCTTTGTTGTCATAAGTCTAAATTCAGATACCTGTTTATTAATTTCAATTTTATCATGCCCTAGGGTATCATCACAGAGGGTAACTTTTGTCCAACCAAGGGAATGTTATGAAAAATGATTAACATATTTCAAGAAGGAGAATTAAAAAAAAGATGAGATAAAGAACTTGTGAGATTTGGTTTTCCAACCTTGGTGATGCCCTGTTTTGCTTGAAAGTGTGTGATTTCTGTCTTTGCCTTTAAGAACCTTTCTTAAACTGAATGACATGTATTGAAGTGGATTTCATTTCATGGTTCATAGTAAGGATAGGGTTGTGAAGAGCCATTGCTGCCTTTATTGATGTTTGTGTATTTAAAGTGATCTCTGTATCAGAGTTGCCCATTGGATTGACTGTTCATTCATCATTTGGGGGAAATGCAGCCAAAAAATATCCTTGGAATAGAGATTATCATCATTTGTCTTCTATTCTTGCTGTCCTGATTACTTGTTTCCATGCTGGCTAAGTTACAGGTAGGGCAAAATTAGCTTTGGGGACAATATGGCAGTCTCAACTGATGGAAAGGTCAGCTTGCGTAGGGTGCTGGAAGATTTGTTTACATGATGTGCAACTCTGCTCTGTATTAGTTGTATGCTGAAAGTGATCTCACCTCTCAACTCTAGTCCGTCCAGTCATTCTCTGTGATGAAATAAATTTTCATTAATAAATCTTCATTTTCATTGCTGATGTGCAGTATTTACTAGTAAATTTTTTTAAGTACTTGAAATAGAAGAGAAAAATTTTGCAGATGCCTCACACAGCAGTCTTTTGGGAAATATGCTGCAGATCAAGGTATCATTTGCTTAAGTGAAATCTTGAGCATGTTCTGCTTTTTGGTGCTGGTCTCAACAAATATGGAAATGAAAATGTAAAAGTTATTTTGGGCTGTCCCTTGAAATGGGAAGAGAAAAATATTTCTCTTCTCCCTTGCAGTGTATATACAAGGAGATCAAATTGGAGTGAATAATGGTTGTTTTCTTAGTTTCTGTGTGCTACATTGTCTTGTAGCAAGTATAAATTATTTCCTATTTTACCAAGTGCAAACATCTAGGTGCTGCACTGGAATATCTTCTTCAACACCCAGGCACATTTTTTAATGTCATGAATCTAGTCTATGAAGATTCTTCTGTGTCTCAAGTACAAGCTATAATGATACATGGCACACTTTCACCCTCAGTTAGGTCATTCAAACTTTTTCCCTTGAAATATACAGTATTTGCATCATGAAATGGAATTATGGGAATCCTGATCTGATTCCTAATATCTACCACTGGAGTCAGTTAACGAATAACTGCGCAGTGCATTATTTATATATTGGTGTCCTTTGAAAGCCTACTCTGTATTTCAAAAAAGAGAACCACTTCATATATTTGTTAATATCTCCTATTTTCATGTGTGCCTCATGTGTACACGAAATCTCGGATGAAAAATAAATATTTCTGCCAATTTTAAGAAAGCTAAAAAAAAAACAAACAAAACAAACAGTGATTCAAATGCAATAAATTTTCAAATTTGAAATATTAAAAATTCCCATGAACAGCCAACATGATCACTGCTCTTCACCAGTTGCATCCCTTCGGTGCGCTCTAACACGACTGAGCACAGGCAGAAGGCAGTCTCAGAGAAGAAACTGGTTTCTCATATTTATCACCTCATATTTTCAGTTACCTTGTGTTCGGGTCGCATTTTTTTATTTTATCATCTTCTGTAGGTTTAAGGCCTAACTCCATCCTTACCATCATGTCATGAATCACAGTATTCAAAATTGCGAATAACATCATGGGATTCAGTGAAGAGGAGAAGCACCTGATCAAAGGCTTTCAAGAGGTGAAGGGGTACATCCCTCGCTGGTTCATGAAGTAATACCCGTATTGGTCACGCACTGGTCCTGATAAGCTATTGGAAAATTTTTGCTGATATTGTATCGATAGGCAGAAAATGTGGAAGCGGCGCCGCGTACAACTCGAACTGCGAAAAATCTCAAAGCTGTGGGAAAATTGGTCCTAAGTCAAGAAGGGGAACCTCAAACTCATCGAACGATGAACGCGATAAAAGGAATTTATCAAAACCAATTTAATCGGTGAGGCTGCCAGTCGTCAACGCCGTTATTTTTGAGAGCGCCAAAGTGATGCACCTGGCAAGAAGCAGCGTGCAGATTGGTTGTTCACTGAGTCTTTCGATACTTTGTTATCGCCGTTTATTGCTAATCGGCCATTTACTGTTATCAAAACACGAAAACCAAACCAAATCCTATATTGACCATAATATTTTTTTTCGGCTAATATCAAATTGTCTAGCCAAGTCGTAAAAATAACCCTATTCGGAACCAGCGACTTGTTATCTGTTGATCTATCGATGACATTGTTGTGGACATGAAAACAAAAGATGATGATACTGACGATGAAATTGTCGAAGAACGGACTGTTACTGGGTTGAATGAAACCAGTGTTGCACTGAAGACTGTGAGGAGAACCCTTGAACTTCCTGATGGGACTGAGTGCGACAGCAAACTATTTTTTATCAACTTGAATTTAGACTGGAATAAATTATCGCTAAAGATTTTAAACAACAAAAAATCGATAAATTTATTCAAAATTCCCAGATATGAGGCAAGTTAACCACGCATCCTGATTTGAATATTTGCATTTTATATCATACAGGACAAAAATTTTCATTATTATATTATTTTATGTTCATGCAGACTTTTTGAAATTAATTAATCTGACCAAATGAACCATTAAACTGAAAGTAAAATTTTCAACTACCATATGTTTCCAAGTTTTATTCCTTACTTTGTTTATCCTAAGGTAGGCATGGTATTCTTCGGGGCTCGCCTGTGTATCACAATAAGCGGCACCTACTGTACATTTTTCAATTTTGTGTTAACAGGAACACAAAGGTCCAATGAGCCACTCCCCAAATTTTAATTAATAAGTAAAAATTTATTCTATAACTTGCTATGCTCTCTAATGTTTCGCCTTATGCAGAAGCGGGTGCTCTCAGTCAAAGGCAGAAAATGCGTTTTCTTGATTTGATAGTACCGTAAATCTCATTTTGTTTTGCTTTGAGAGTTGTGATTGAAAGCGCTCAATCCGATACTATATATCCTGAAACACACTAGTCTGTGATGGAACTTCAAGGCAATTTTATCCCATGTGAAATTTTTTAGGGACCTAACGTGCGCAGTTTGACTATGAGAGGGGGATCCAATGAACAGATGAGTCGTGAGGGTAAACCCCCCACGCACCAGAAGGACACATTGTTCTAAATCCCCTTACTCCTGCCAAAACCAACGGCAATGGGGGAGGCAAAGAGATCCTCCGCCTTCCTTGCTTTCCCGTGCCATTTAACCGGCTGCAATCTATTGTAAACGTTCAAGCTCGTGGGCCAGAAGGAGACCATCTGTACCTCCATCGTAAATCATCTAAGAAGAATAAAACTGAGCATTCTGGAGACAACGAGCCGGAAGTGACATCTATCAACTCGGTGGATATCGACTTGACATGATTGGCTTGCTCTACATTCTACAAATATTCGAGTCATATGCTAAAGTGAAAGAACCCTTCAAATTCATACCGGTACTGGTGAAGTTAGTGCCACGAAATGAATTTTGTGAAATGTTGGGGGGGGGAGGGGATCACAAATATTGCATCTCTGGAACTCTTCATAATTATTCAGACTAAATTATGCTCATTTGCTTTTACTCCATGTTATCGTCAAGATCAAAGAGATCAAACTTTGATGAATTCCAGAAGAATAGAGATGGAGTTTTTTGCATGAGATTCAGAAGTTTGCCTTTGCTTTATGATTGCAATGGTCTTAGTTTCGTCGAAATGGGACCATAAAGAAATGAAAACTTAGCGACTTTTACTAAATCAAGGGAAATGGGCACTTTCATGAAATTTTGAAATACTATAACTTTCGAACTGTTGGTTGCATCGGGCTAAAATGTGAAATGCTGTGGCTCTGAGTCAAACTCAACCAACGGACCGAGCGTGAAAAAATCCTAGGAGGCTGCCGTGTCGAATC